TTCTGTTATTAAAGTAAAAAAAAAAAATATATATATATATATATATATACATACTGTATTGTTCTTTCTAATGTTCTAACAATCGACAGATAGATAGATAGATAGATAGATAGATAGATGTTTCAATGGCTGAAAATGCAGTCTTATTTCACCTTGCAAAATAAATCAGACACTTGTATCACATTATTTAGATAAACATTATAAAGCTGTTAGTTAAATTGCTCAATGCAATATCCTTAATCCAGAAGTTTCTAAAATACGAATGAACAAAAAGATTACAGTCACCTTCTTAATATAGTAGCACTTTTTGTTATTCAGAGAAACTAATATTTAAGAACAAGTTTTCACAGAAAAATCATTGACTTGCTGTTAATTGTAAAGAAAGGTTTCCTGCCACAAACAGAGCTGTTCCCTCAGTGCTGAGAGAGAGAACATCAAGAATTATAGGCCTACTAACGCAACAGAGAAGTACATGTAGGTTGTACACTAAGTCGCGTCCCTCGGGCAGCCAGTTTTTATGGTGTGAAGCTTCTTTCATGTGTCATTTCAAAGAGGCCTCTATTGCTTCAAAGACTTCCTTTGAGAGAATATTTCATTATTTGAACTCCCTGCGCTTAGGTTAACAGAACAATTAGACAACAAAACAGTAGCTTGACGAAGTAAATCAAGCCTGACACAGAGAAAGCTTGAAATCAAACACAACGTTAAGGTAGACAGCTTTACTGGAAATAAAATAAATCCACTGCGATACTGACTGAAGCAACACATCAGAGACAGAAGCAACACATCAGAGCTAACCCAGTCAAGTTGTCAAGTGTGTCAAATAACAGCGTTCTTCAGGTTTTTTCACATATACAATAACACTTCTGAGCTACAAGGGAAGAATTAACCATTGCGTTCAACTGCAAAGATTTGCAGTCGTGGTATTGAAATGGGAGGCGTTCTGTTATCCTGTGATATTGTGCTGCGATGGCGAGCCACGGTGGAGCATTACAATCTTCGGTTAACCACCGAACCTGAATCTTCCACAGCATGTATTCATGTGACAAAACAAGGGAGCCAAGAGGAACGCCCCAGAAACATCTGACACCGTTTCGCATGAATGGCAGGCAGGACTTTTTTGAAAATACTCTCGAAAAAGGAGTGGGTTTAGAAACCTGCAGCAGTGCGAGAGCTGAAAAATAGGTCATGTTGTAAGCGAGCTTCTCACAGAAAACCTGAGCAATCACAGAATTATTCACAAGAAAGAGGATTCCAAGTGCGCTGCGATCACTCTGTGGCTTCACTTGATGTCTGGAACTCATAGCTGCTCTCGGAGGAGGAATGCTGTGAATTTTGGCCTGATGTCCCTTCAGCCCCTGTATAACACTGTGAACTGGTTACTTTAGAAGCCCGGAATTACTTAAGAGGAGGATTTCTCTGGAATACCCTCATCTGATGAGACCGAACTCTGTCGCAACCTCTGCCTGCGGATAGACTCAGCAAATAGCTGAAAGATTGTGTCACACGATGGTCGACGCACCCCTGAATTACACTTTAATATCAAACACATGAGTTAAGACCATCTGATTTCAATGAAAATAAATAGCCTGTCTCTCATATTAGCAAGCTGTGATGACTAAGCCATCTGAATAAATAGAGACGATGGATCCCTATTATAGAGTATGAAAAGTAGGGTCAAGAGCCAAAAATAAACAAAAGATCATCTAATTTTACAGGCAACAAGCTTAACCTTTAATTTAAAGGTTTTCTAACAGATACTATCTATCAAGATACTATCAATTATCTTATATACTGTGCGTCATTCACTTCCCCTCCCCATAAACCATTTCCAACTGAGCCTTGGGTTTGTTTATCTATATGGGGGGACTTGAAATAGGGTGTTATAGAGATTCCAGAAATGTTCTTTGTAATTCAATCTCACAAGACTTGCCAAAGTAGACAAAGTAGGTGTTGGTCTAGAGCTGTGGTTCTCAAATTGTGGTCTCCAGAAACCTTAGTGGTCTGTACAAATCTGTCACGCTCACCAAGGCTGCATTTATTTGATCAAAAATACAGTTAAATGGTAATATTACGAAATATTATTACAGTTTAAAATAGCTGTTTCCTATTTTAATATATTTTTTAAATGATATTTATTTCTGTGGGGGCAAAGCTGAATTTTCTTTACTGTCACTTTTGATTAATTTAATACATCCTTTTTGAATAAAATTATTAATTTAAAAAAAAATCCTTGACCCCACACTTTTGAACAGCAGTGTTGCAAAAAAGCACAAACACTTGGCTGATTAATCAACTCAATTAATTAACTGATTGCATGAAATAATTTGTGGTAAAGATTTTTTTATCTGTCTCATTTCAAAAATGTAATTATGTACACAAGTATTTGGTCTAACTTCTCAGCTGGAGAACAGTGGGCAATCTAGTTAATTTCAACGAAATAAGAACAAAACAGCAGTCTGGAAAAATTAAAGATAATTTGTACACCACTTGAAACTGCGGGTAATTTGTTCTGAGGTAGTTTTGAACCCACCGTTCACTGTTCATTCAGTCTTTCAGTCTGCTCGTTTATTAAATAACATGGCTAATTTGATCAGGCTTTCAGCTGCCATCAAGACTGCAGTATTCTCAGCTCTTTTTTACACATTTTACCACGCTGAAATCCATTCAGGAGTTTTTCTCCAAAAATCAGCACAGAAAATGTTAAAAAGGTCTACAGAATCCATCTGGGAACAATAAAACTGTTAGTCCCTCAATCGTCTGAATGGCGCAACAAGATTCTTGCAGTTTCTGAAGAAAATGTCAGTGGTGCTTTCTCATGCAAATGCAAGGGTTCCAAATTTGATAGTTTCCATGGCATTGCTATGCAGTTGCTAAGATGTTTGGAGTGTTTTTAGAACATTGCTATGCAGTTTCTAGGGTGTTCTGGGCGGTTTCTACAGTAGCAACCATCCAGAAGACCCTACAAACCACTTAACAAGCAATTCCACTACAATAATATTGTATTCTGATCCCAAGATATGACTTCTAGAATGCAAATTGATGATGTTTTTCCCATTTTAATGTCTTGCTTAGAAAAGCAGCAGCACAATCTTAAAACAGTCAAGTAAGGCCAAGTTCTGTTGTGCTTGTGATACAATGAGAAACTTTTTTTCAAAACACAGCATTATCTGACAAAACCCTCTCAGTTTCAACAAGTAACAAGCTAAATTCTTCCACGCACCATTTGCACAAGAGTTCATTC